ATTACATACAACAAAACAATATGAATAAAATAAAATGAAAGGCAACAGAAGAATAAAAATATCTTATATCTGCTCCTATTTACAAAAAAATATTAATTTAAAAAATAAAACAAATAATAAAACAAAACAAAAAATTCACCTCCTCAAACAGTAACATACAAATACAAATTAAACAATTTCATATTTCTTTAACAATTTTGCTTTGATGTTTTTTTTAAAGGAATTAATTGATCCAATGCTTTTATAATCATTTTCCAGATTATTCTATAGTGTTTTACAGCAGCCAGCTCACTTTGTCAAACCAGGACAGCTGAAAAGACCTGTTATTTCCCCACTGTGGGATCAATAAAAAGTTTTTTTTAAATCTTACTTTTCCCCACCTTTTGCACCAAATTAATCTGAGGAGTTGATCAGGCCTGATGTTTAACTRTAAGTTTTTCTTTGTAAACAAGACTATCAAATGGCTTCACCAAAATCCGGTCCACAACATTCAAACTGCCTGCCATATGTGCAGCTTGCTACCAAGCTAGCTCGCTAGCTGGGACTGGCACGAGGCCAGTGTGTGACTCGTCTCATTTCGCTGCAGTCTTTGCTTCGCTAATGAGCTCTGTAGACGCTCAGCGTCCGACTGTTTAAAGCACTGTGAAGCTGCGGGAATGAGTGAAATGAGGAAATGAGGAAAGCTGCGTCATTACCAGTGATAAGAAGCCGATTCTGAACAAAAGTTGAGYGCGTTGTAGCGCATATTTAGTCAATGACATGTACTCGCAACAATATATATTTGATCTTTTCTTTCTACATTTTAGGGGAAGCTGAGCTTTCCTTGCAGTCTTAGATTAGAGCAATTGCCTCTAACTGGTGGGTATATTAGCTGTGGTCTCCTGGGAGGGTTAAGGCCGGCTATTTGGAGACTGTGYGCGGATTCAGTCAGACTACATGAACTGCTGGGAGGACTAAGCAGCTCAGAAGTTATCTTAAACAGAGGGTGTTGTCCAAAATCAACATTTTTGAGCTTTATATCATGTTGGAATGTCATTCCCTCATCAAAAACATACCCGGAGTGTTGCTTTGATTCATTTATGCATGTTTGAGAAATCCTTGAATCTCCTGTGGTAGCCATGTGGAGCTGCTGAAACACTTGCTGGTACAAAGCCCCGCCTATTTATACAAGCTGAGCATTTGTCCCACAGAACACCCCTTCCTGCGAGCTTCCCACGCACGGCTCCACCCRACTAGAAAAATGTTTCTTAAAAATGGTTGGTATTCACTATTTTGTTGCAAAACTGTTTCATAATGCTCTATATTTATGGTTTCTTCGCAAAAAGCAGCTCAACATTGACGTATATGAATGACAGGATCACTGGGAGATACGTTACCAAGCTGAAACACCTTGTAAGAGCCTCTATACTCACTCTGGTTCTTTGGAAAATGAGCTTTTCCGGGTCCAACGTGGGATCATTCGAGTAAAGTTCAACTCAGGATAACTGAGGTGCTTTTTTCCAAAACCGACATAAAATATTGCTTGCTGCAACAAATTACAGCTCCTATGAAAGGTTGTAAACATTSTTGTGAAGATGTGCTGAAGTGGGAGTGTCAGAAATGGTAGGAAGSTCTTAAAGAGAATTTCAAGGCATTTAGATGGGCTATGATGCAAAGTCAAATATATTTTTGATATAAACTGCTCTTTCATAATGACTGAAGGTAACACTTGATTGTGGTATAGAGTTGAACWATGTGCCTGGAAAATATAAAACACCCTCTTTTAAGTAAAAGACATGTCATATTTCACAAGGTGCATAATAACGTGATCCTACCAGTGGTCCTGGAAATCCTTTTGGTCCAGGTGAACCAGGTGGACCTCTGTCACCCTAATGACATAAAGAAGAACAGAATAAAAGCACAAGATGTACGGTTATAAGAAAGGTTAAAGAAGAACAACATATTTCTATAGCTTCAGCTTATAAAGAACATAAAAAAGAACAAGTAAGTGAAATTAACACAGAGGATGTATGTTGAAGATTAGGCAGAAAACCACACCTTGAGGAAAAAAGGTGAACTGTGTCTTGACACATGATCAGCCTGTTTGAGCAGAAATGATAAATTTGTGTTTACAATTTATTATATTTAAAAATTAGTATTTTTGTTTTCCTGAGAAACGAGGACTGTCCAGTGGCAATGTTATGAAAGTATTATGCAGTGCCAGTAACTGATGGACTGGGGAAAAAATTAATGACGGGCACATTATCATGTTATTATTGTATTA